ATAATCAATCTAGATGACCACAATGAATTAGTATTAATTAGATATAACTTATTACATAAATAATAAGATGTGAGACAACAATTTATAATAATGGAACTCAAATAACTGATAGATTTGAGCAATAACGATTACGAGCAATTACGATAATTGAATTTAATTATAGGAAATAATATATAAGTCTTTATAAAAAAAACTACAAATAAATTATGTTTTAGAATTCGACGGAGATGACCTTATGGCGCAAGCGGCCAGTTTCTTTTCAGCTGGTTTCGAAACTTCCGCAGTGCCGATCGCTTTCACCTTGTACGAACTCGCACTGCACCCTGAAATACAAAACACGGTAAGAAACGAAATGCTCCAAGTGCTCGACGATTCCAATGGAAAAATCACATATGACATGGTACGCAAACATCATATGTTTCTCCTTTTCCGTCAAGTAACCTTTGTGACTGACGTTACTCAAATATCTTTTGCTAAATCAAATACGTTTTTGTCTCTCGATGTTATTTCTGCAAATTTTTAAACTTGGCAGATCCGTAAGAATATGTAAGAGTAATGCGTCTTTATTTTATTAGATCATGTCGCTACCGTATCTGGATACGGTGGTGTTCGAAATTTTGAGAATGTACCCACCGTTGTCATTCTTGAATCGCATGACAATGCAAACTTACAAAGTACCAAACTCTGATCTTGTACTTGAGAAAGGTACGCCGATTTACATCCCGATGCTTGGCCTGCACTATGATCCGGAATATTTCCCCGATCCTTATAAATTCGATCCGGAGCGATTCAATGAGCAGAACAAACATAACAGACCGTCCTGCGTCTATTTACCGTTTGGAGAAGGCCCACATGCATGTATAGGTGAATAAATTAATTTTAATTATATCGAAAAAAGATATCACATATTAAATTAGGACGAATATCAGAAATTAAGATTATGCCATCTTATAATTATGCCAAATGTAAATATCTAGATAAATCACGAATAACTTGTATTTAACTTATAAAATTCAAATTTTTAAAAAAATATGAATTAGGCAGAATATCTTTTAAAATATATTTTTATATGCATAAATGACGTAACAAAAGTCGGAAATAAAGAAATTAATAGGAAAGTACTACGATATCGAATTACTGAACACTAATGCAATTATATATAGGCCATATTGATATTGACAATTGTGTAAATATCATTCGAGACTTTCGTTCTAATTAGACTTTGCAAGTATAGAGTTAACAGCTCAAATTACAAAGTTACAAATTAAAATTAGAAATTACTTTTTCTTTATTAAAATAATATATTATATTGTATTATTACGCACTTTGCAGGCACTCGTTTCGGACTTATACTGATAAAGCTGACACTTATTAAAATCTTAAGCAAATATGAAGTAATTCCTTGTGAAAAAACTTTAATACCAATGGTTATTGAACAGGGAAGTACTATGACATCATCCTTAAACGGCGTAATCTATCTTAATATGCGGGAAATAAATACTATAAATTAAAATTTAATAAAATATAATGAAAATATTTTTTATATATTAACAAAATATTAAAATAATATTTTTAGTATACTATTGGTATACTAAAACCATTTTACCGTTTGTAAGCCAATCTATAAAAATACACTCAAAAATAAATTTTTTAACGTACAGTTTTGATTCTTATTTCAACGTACTTGGATTTTCGCAAAAAATAATAAGAAATTAATTTTATTCTTAAACTTGCATAACTGTAGCACTAAAATATATTTCTAAAATATATTTTACTTATTTATTTGTAAGAGATAATAAGAGATAATAATATAAGGAGGGATTTTGGTCAAATATAATTTTTCGTCACCGGAAGAATGATAGTTTTTCCTTTATTCGTCGACATTGTAAATATATATAGGAGGCAACCACGAGGGCAGCCGGTCACATGCTGATGCGATGATATATATATATATATATATATATATATATATATATATATATAT